TTCGAAAATTACATTGAACGGGCAGTTTTACCAATAAAAAAAGCTAAGCGAGAAAGAAAACCACTGGCCTCGGCCAGTTGTTCAAAACTGGTTTGAGGAAAAGCGCTATCCACCTGATAAATCACTATCCAGTGGATAAGTGTGTCAGGCAAACCATGAAGGCGTCGTCATCTGGAAAGTGACTTACCACCCTTTGAAAAAACTGGGCCATACATGTAAGACTAGTGTTCTAATCAGGGATAACGGAAATTCAAACGTAGCCTGTTCTTGCCAAAAGGATCGGAGTTACTGTAATTACTAAAATACTCTGTATGTAAACTCTCGATGTCCAAAAGCGTCTTATTTTTAATAAGGTTGGGTAGTGGAAAAGGTAATAACCTGCAACTTAAAATGTCAGAGAGCCAAAGTTTCCTTCACTTTGTGACTGGCAAGTTTAAAAATTAACCACCACTAATGTACATCGGGGTCATAGGCTCCTGTGTACATATGTTATCCTTGAACCACGTTTTGGGCATCAGGGAGTGTACTTTAATATTAGCTATGACACAGCCTTAGGCAAAAACTTAGGACAACTACCTAAGAATTCGGAAGAATTTAAAAGGTCAGGGAGCTTTGCCAAATTCGAGAATTCATCAAATAGCTGTTCATGACCGGAAAAATATTGAAGACAGTTTGCCTGCGCTAGTATACACAATATAGGCGTTTAACATAAAATCCGACCCTACTTTTTTATCTGTGGGATGCCTAAAACGAAAAAGTATTACTTATGGCAATGTACCTATATATATTTTTTTATTTATTCTGTTTTCTTTTGTAACTCCCAGCTGCACCAAAACTACAGAAATTCCTTTAAGATCTCTCCGTCCCCTTCATTTACTTACAATAATTAACTTTGTTTTATTTGTTTTTCAATGCTTGATATGGAAAGTAGAAATGACGGTATTTCCTTCAGCTCAGTTCAAAAGCGCACAAGTTATCAGCTAGGAACATGAAATGACCCCCAAGTTTCAACATTGTTTTTTCACAAGCTCAGTAAGGCTTAGTCCAGCATAAAAAGAAAATAGAAATAAAAAAACTATTCGTTTCTTTGAAATTTTATTAGGCGGTAGAGGTTTCCCGTACTAATTCAAATGAGTCCTGCTGCAGTGAAAAACCTCTCTGTCAGAATGCCACGGAAAACAAGTAACTGTATTCTCAGTCTCATATTCAAACACATCACCCATGCAGTGACATGTCAAGAAGTCTTGCATGATGGATCAGGGGCATCCAGCGACTGTTTTCTGTTAAATATCTGTTCGGAGAAGCAAACATTGCCTAGAATTGTGTATTGTTTGAGGACGGCTAAAAATTTCTTGAGGACTGTTCCATTCGTGCCTGTACAATTTTCAAAGCTTATCTAATAAATTCTGCTCCATTTTCTGAAGTTTAATTTTTTCACATTTCATTGCCCTGGTTAGGCTATTTTTCGTAGAAAAAAGGAAACTTAAAATTTTCGGATTCAAACATGTGATGGAGAGAGGAATCTGAAAATTTTTCAATTTCGTAATACGTTAAATTCCAACTCAGTAATATTTTCGAGAAAATACTTCTGAAGCCCTTGTAATTTCAAGTTCTCTTGGGATGAACGAACAGATGGAAATTTTATAGCGCAGCTTAGACTGATGCTTTTCCAGAGATCTAAAAGTGCACATAACTCTGGATAGCCTAAAAAGTGTTTTCTATGTATTTAGTAGAAAACCGTCGTTGAGTGCTCCCGGATAGATGTCTATATTAAGTTCTCAGTTGTCAACCATTTGCTCTGTTTAAGGCTGAAAGAAAGGAACATATGCGCGAGACGAAGCTAGCGAGCGACCAGGCCAAAGTGCCGGATCAAAACTTTCCGATCTGAAAAATCTCGAGAAAAACAAATATCACTCACTATAATTGATACGCACATCTGAAGAAGTTTCATTTGGAACGTTTCATCACAAGAGTGTATATCCACTGACTTATGTTTGTTTGTTGGACTGGTGCGTCAGAGCCCTCTCCTGTGCCTGGTGAATTGCCTGAACATATTTTTAGGTATTTTAAACTGAAAAGCTTTTTGGTTGCAAACTGCTTAAGGATGACGAGAAGAAGAATTCCACCGATTCGATTCCACCGATTCGATTCCACCGATTCCACCGCCAAGAAAATAAAAATTTGACCGTAATGTATCGATAGATACAGATTATATTCTTCACTTTACATCGCGCATCTGATTCACCTAGTATTAATTGGTCTCCGCCTTTATATACCGTTGTTATATTACGTTCCATGTATATTTCATCTTTTATTATGCATGGTACACAGGTGAACACCACGCAGATATGCTCTTACAAATAACAATGAGTCACCTTTAAACGTTTTTGTTTTCCATTCGCATAGACCATGAAGATAATTATCGTTTGGAGCTGTCTCGTAGCTGTTCTTTTGGAGCCTTGCACGTCCGATATGTACCTGCATTTTCCTCCAGGGTCAAACAATCGACTAAACGGTAACCAAGACAACGTCAGAAACGCCAACAGATTGTATGATTCACAGGTAACGTCAAGCCTATAGGGCAGCTAGATAATGATGACAGACAGTAAGAAGCTGGCGTCTTGACCGCTAATGTAATATATAGATTCAGCCAAGGCCAAAAGCGAAGCTCTCGAGTGATCTTTCATGGAATGTCTTTCTCAAGTAATTAAATTCAACTTTTGCCGTAAGCAGAAAGCAAACTGAATTCCACCTTTAAAAAATGAAACTTAGTCCACGATCAATTGAACACCAAGTACTGGTAAGCGGATAACTTTAAAAAATACGTCACCTCAATGAGTTGTATATCTGAGCCAGCGGAAAGACTTTATGATATTAATGCTACGGTGATACAGCACTTTGACGTCATCTAAAAATGGCCGCCACCTTGCTAGTCTGTTCATCGAAGCCAAACAACAGCGGGTCGATTTTAGACTGGTTATATCACTTTATTAATCTTTTTACATCAACCCTTACGGTAAATATATTTTCTATTCCAGAATAATGGCAAATGTGGGTATAATGTTGGAGACAAACTGGACAGTAACCCAGGGGACAACATTCCAGAATTCAGACAGCTACCGATGGTAATTATATCACTCAGACTCAATTAATAAATAAACTGAAAGTACCGCTGTAAGATCAAGATTGGAACATAATTGTAACGACAAACGCGCGATTTGGGCCGTATGGGCAAAGACTGACTTAGGGATCGGACAAATAGGTGGAGCTTTTAGCTTTCTGGTTTAACATCGATCACTCATTATAACTCAATTTAACCTTATTATTGTATAAGACTTTTATAATCAAGAGGTGCATGTAATTATGGACAAGGCATTACAGTACATGTTTCAGAAGAGGACCGGTGCGGGAGGGGAAACTCAAGAAGATTTTATGCAGTTAGGCTCGGCTCCGAGTACCAACCTTTAACCCTTGCTTCAGAAATGCGATCATTTTTTACAGAAAAGGTGACCGTTTCGTATACCTTTTTTGGACAAATGGAACCCCTTTTACATAGCTAGTTTAAGAATTTACACACACCCTTTAGATTNATTCGCATAGACCATGAAGATAATTATCGTTTGGAGCTGTCTCGTAGCTGTTCTTTTGGAGCCTTGCACGTCCGATATGTACCTGCATTTTCCTCCAGGGTCAAACAATCGACTAAACGGTAACCAAGACAACGTCAGAAACGCCAACAGATTGTATGATTCACAGGTAACGTCAAGCCTATAGGGCAGCTAGATAATGATGACAGACAGTAAGAAGCTGGCGTCTTGACCGCTAATGTAATATATAGATTCAGCCAAGGCCAAAAGCGAAGCTCTCGAGTGATCTTTCATGGAATGTCTTTCTCAAGTAATTAAATTCAACTTTTGCCGTAAGCAGAAAGCAAACTGAATTCCACCTTTAAAAAATGAAACTTAGTCCACGATCAATTGAACACCAAGTACTGGTAAGCGGATAACTTTAAAAAATACGTCACCTCAATGAGTTGTATATCTGAGCCAGCGGAAAGACTTTATGATATTAATGCTACGGTGATACAGCACTTTGACGTCATCTAAAAATGGCCGCCACCTTGCTAGTCTGTTCATCGAAGCCAAACAACAGCGGGTCGATTTTAGACTGGTTATATCACTTTATTAATCTTTTTACATCAACCCTTACGGTAAATATATTTTCTATTCCAGAATAATGGCAAATGTGGGTATAATGTTGGAGACAAACTGGACAGTAACCCAGGGGACAACATTCCAGAATTCAGACAGCTACCGATGGTAATTATATCACTCAGACTCAATTAATAAATAAACTGAAAGTACCGCTGTAAGATCAAGATTGGAACATAATTGTAACGACAAACGCGCGATTTGGGCCGTATGGGCAAAGACTGACTTAGGGATCGGACAAATAGGTGGAGCTTTTAGCTTTCTGGTTTAACATCGATCACTCATTATAACTCAATTTAACCTTATTATTGTATAAGACTTTTATAATCAAGAGGTGCATGTAATTATGGACAAGGCATTACAGTACATGTTTCAGAAGAGGACCGGTGCGGGAGGGGAAACTCAAGAAGATTTTATGCAGTTAGGCTCGGCTCCGAGTACCAACCTTTAACCCTTGCTTCAGAAATGCGATCATTTTTTACAGAAAAGGTGACCGTTTCGTATACCTTTTTTGGACAAATGGAACCCCTTTTACATAGCTAGTTTAAGAATTTACACACACCCTTTAGATTAGATGCACTGTCTTCCACTGTCTTTGAATATGAATAAATCACAAAACAAGAACGTTTTCGACTTTTTCAAAGCCGTAAAAGGCATCTCTTAGCCCTGTTGGGTCTTTTACAGACCGAAATGACAGATCCTCTTTCAAATACTTCAATCAGTGAAATCCCTACCCTCTCATACACAGTCAGTACCTGAGGCCTGAAAAAGGTACACCATTTGGGCGGAGCCTACCTGTATACCTTTGTAGGCCATTACTAGGGAGTGCTCCGCCCCTCGGGGAAGGGGACTCAGTTCAACATTCATGGGATCAGTGCTTCATGGGATCAGTGCTTCAATTTTTCTTACTACAGTCAACACTTATTTGTTAGGCAGATTTTATATCAGGATCGACTGGACTAAAACCCCCTAACTTCTCAAAGCTACTATGTGATCTTTATCTTCAGATAATAAGAAACGTTTTAGAACTAAATTAGTTACTAATTGTGCTAATTAACTTTTACTGATGTAAGAACTGACCTGTTGACGCTAAAGTGGCGGAAAAATGCATTTTCTTACTTGCGGTTTTTCAGTTTGTATACTTACAGGGGCCTTTTGACTAATAACTGAACGAGCCTTTAATTTGTATCTTTCTTACGCGACCTGCAATGAGAATGCCTAAATGAATCAGCCGTTAGATGCGTTTCTTCGAGTTTTATCTTTAAAAGACTAGTTTAACTCCTTAGATAGCAGTTTTTGGTATTTTGTTTTCTTTATCCATGATCTTAAAAATCCTACCTTCGGCCAAGAGTGTTAGAATGACCTCTTTTTTTTCTTTGCAGGAATTCTATATGAGTGGATGCGATGCAAAAGCAAAAAGCGAAGTCGAAATAATGTGGACAAACCAACACGGAACCGGACCAAAAACAGACGACAGGGTGGAAACACAAGTTATCCTACAATACATGTGTCAGGCATACCCCGAGGGAAAGATGACTACCACTGACGTCAACAGAGAGTTCCAATATCACACAATACGTAATGGTCAGACTCTCACCACGCAAGGATTTGCAAATGGAGCTCGGGAAAATGCTTACATCAGAAAGGACCGTGGACTTCATGAGCCAGCCAATTACTATCAAGCTTACTTCCGTAGAGAACGAAACAAAGGTATGTATACATTGGTCTATTCTGAGATTGCGAATGAGACTATCGCCCCATGTAAAGAAACCCAAGTGAAGAGATTCTTGATTCCAAATTCCATGTCAGTGGAACTTGGATTCCGGATTCCAATCGTTAGCAGGATTCCGTATAAATTGAGCTGAATTCCTGAATTCCACGAGTCAAGGGACGAGAGACTAAATTGGTAATGGGAGACACTATAAACGCTTCTTTCATCACCTGTTTAGAGACTGTGTAGGAAAATGGATCAAAACTTGACCTCCAACACAGTCTCATATGGCAGTTCGAGACAACATTACCAGCAATCAACTGTATCAGGTAAGCTTCAAAATGGACAAATACATGTGGACGCGGTGGCGGATGAAGGAGTTTACTTCTTGTGTCACATGTTAACATAGAATTACCCTGTAAGAAAAGCTTCCATTTGTCTTGTCTTTGAGAAAAGAGGGTTTCGTGTAAATCACGTCAAACCTTTAAATTCGCCGCAGCTAGAAATTCCGGACCAATCTCAGTTGTATTCTCCTCTTAAACTAGTTTTTCGAGTGCGAGCATACTGCTTGACTTGGATAGTTATAACTGAGCCCGCTGTACAAGTGAAAACTGCCCGGGTTCGAAAGTTGAAACCGTATGCAAGCAACATGCAAATCATGCTCGATTCATGTAGAGTCTCCCTGGAGCACAGTAAAATCGAGCAAGTACGAAGAAAGGCAATGCTTACCGGAGGATGGCATAAAATGCGCGTTTGGCTACCTTCTGAGCCCATATTTCATCTCTAATATCATAGGTGACGAATTACTCCCTAATTTTGGCGCGAAATTTCAGCGATAATTTGTAATTTCACATGTGAAATTACAAAATTGCCATGGCAACCTTCCGTACGTCTCAGTGTCAAGATAGCGACGAAGTTTTAAAATGTCATTAATGAAGATGTCAGGGCACAAAAAGACGCTTTAGAAAACCTGAACACACGAAAGAGCACATCAAGAAGGATTCTAACAGGTATTTTGTCGAAAAACTCTGAACTTAAGCCAAATTTAAACTCTAAACGCTCGAGAGAGTGCAGGAGTTCTCGATCGATACGATCCAGGATAGACATGTCAAAAATCCAAGATTGCTAACGTAATTCGTCACCCATGATTTTAATAGGTAATCAAATGGTATACTCGTGAAATTATTCCCTAATTTCACTCGTCACCATTTGATTACACATACTAATCACAGATCACTTGAACACTAATATGTGAAGGCGGAAGTTGTCTCAATTTTTGTTTAGTACCAGAGCCACAAAAATCCGAAGAAACAGGAAAGTTTGCTTTTCTTGCTATCCTATTCAAGGTGTAAAGATGGTTAAGGAGACATTAAATGGCGCAGTTGATCACTTTACGTAAACTTTTTGTTCATTCTACAGGTTTGTTTACCGCTGACCAAAAGCTCAAAGGTGTTCTGCCAATCTACACGAGGCAAAATGCAGCAGGGACAAGGAGGGGCCTGGAAGTACCTGAGGAGCGTGATTACTATCCTTACTGGGGCCCCACCCCGTGGAAGGACATTGCCATTATGGTTAGCGATAGGAAGACAGAGCAGTTAATGAACGATTATGTCAAAAGTCCTCATTATGGCCACAAATGTGAGTGTATTTTGGTTTAGCATATTGATACTGTCTCAAAGCTATCTCTTGATGGTGGGAAGTGATCATCCCAAAGTTTTCGAGTGCTGTAACTCGAAAGTTCTCAAACGCTTATCATACTTAGCATATCACGAGGAACAATTTTCTATTTCTTTCTTAAGTGGGCTAAGACTTGCCCGGTCATAGTAAGTCATCAGTGAGGTAGCAGGAGGTAGACTTTGTGCATTGTACCTCGTTGCAATTGAATGAAACACGCGCGTGACGAAAGGTGTGTGCTTACGTGCCGGACTTCTTTTATGGACTTTTCATGACAAATCGTGGTACTTACATTATTTCTGAATGTAGATCCTGAGATACTTTATTTATTACAACTTTTAAATTTCACAGATATGTGTATCATGCCAACCACGCTAACGGGAAACGCCAACTGTCCACTGACAAATGAAAACCGTCCTGCGAAAAAATGCGTTGCTAAGTACATCACAGCGGAAGCTTGTAAA